CACGAAGATGACGATATATAAGTGTACCCTCTACGACTATTTTATAAAAGAAGGAGAATGACATTTAGACTTTTTATTTCCGAAGTATAAAAAGAAAGACAAACTACATTTATATAAATAAGGCATTCGTCCTGTTTATATTCTTATATCAAAATATTATCACGAATTTTTACTCAATTAAAAGAAGATGAAACACGTCTTCTATTACATCGTCATTCTAACATTCTTTATCTTATTCATCTTTTCAATTATACAGGTAGCTGAAGCAGCCTCACTCCAGGTAGATGAATCAGAACTTCTTCAAAAAATATCCAAATTACTAGATGAACGTGAAGAACGTAATTTTCAAAAAATCAAACATCTACTCTGTTCAATGCAACTTCGTTGTGATGACAGCAAACTCAAGTGGCGCCTTGTAGCTACGCATTCTTTATGTTTTCACTACAAAGTGTTTTTACATAGTGTTAACTGTGTCAAAAAAGGACCTTGATTGTTTATATAAAACTCATGAAATTCATAGAAAGACTTCACTCATCAGTTTTCTGTAATTTTCTTTTATACTCTAATAAACAATCGAGTTTGTGACCAGAATAATTTATATTTCACCTTTTCCTACATCTTTTTTTGTCTGAAATAAATATATCATATCTAACCTATTTTTTTGATGAAGATTTTTTGTTTGCAAATAAAGTAAAGTAGGACGTTCTTTTCGATTGTTGAAAGTCTCAAGAATCAAGTTTAATGAAGAAACAACAGATATCTCGATTGTTGCTGGTAGATCGTACGGTGAAATTGATGACAAATTAGCATATTCACAGAATTTTATTGTTGATGCGTTGGCAAATGTCTATGACCTAGTACATGTAAGACACGACCGATCTTGCTCAATCAAAGTCCTCAGATCTTTCTCAATTTAAGATATGTGACGGGGGAAAGAGTTTTATGAATTTTGACGCAAGCCAATTTCAAAAATATTGAACCCTCGATTTTTAATGTATTTTTTATGAAAACCCCTAAAACTGGTAACCTTCCTAAAAATTTGAGCTCGATAGAGTCTTGTGTTCACTTGGGAGCATTATGTCCAAATTCGAGCGTTTGACGAAAATATTGATTTTCAGTCAAGGTTATTTACCAAGAAATCATGTAGCTTTGCAGCTGATATTGAGAAGTTTGAAGCCGTCTCTGTAGTCTATAGCCTCATAGGAGAATAGACCTGAGATCACTAGAAACAGTGTAAAGTATACACTGTCATGAAAAATGAGAGATTTTTTCTTCTTAGTCTTTAATTTGTTTTTTGCTATCGATGTTTATGATAAACGATAGATAATTTCAATTAAGAGCTGAAACCATCGAAAGCTAACTTGTCCGTCATCGATATCTTGTGAAGAATGCTAGTTTATATATTCAACACTCATTAGCATCAGTGCATTCGAATACATTTTCACATCACTTATCAAACAAGCCATAAGAGGATTTTCATCACTAAAATTTCCACAAATTTTATGAACGATTTCGGCCATAATGTATGACGTATCTTATTTACATAAAATATATCGATTTGAAATGCTTATGATAAATTGTGAACTATTTGTCTTCTTTCTCCATCTCACTACCATATGTTTAACAGCATATCGAAAAGAATAGTCACTAGTTTTTATTAAATAATTATTGTGTTATCATTTTTTTTTTTTGAATGGATGTCGAAATGTAACGATTTATTAAATAAATAAAATTCATATATATTTTACTTTTAGCTGCATTTTCGTTCACTATACCTCGTTTTCTGCCAGAATTTTTCATGATTTCGGTCACCTTCAGCTTGAAAAGTATGCTTTCCTGATCATGCAATCCAGAATGCTCTGTGGATCTTCATTCTATATATTTATCTTTTTCTTTGTTTGAAGATCATGTCAAGATGTAAGACATAGCCCAGTCTCTTTTTTGAATTAAGCTTTGATGCTTTTTGTGTAAAAGAGTACTTCTATAATTCAAACACTATTTTTTGAGAGCTTTCGAGACATTGAAATTTTTATTCCTTTTCTTTTCTTGAAAAGTAAGAATTTAAAAAGCAAAAGATTCTGTCATGCCCTACATCTTGATATACTTTTTCAAACAAAAATAAGTCAATTCTATAGAATAAAGGCCCACAGAGAATTTGGGTCGCTAAATGAGTTATTTTTTATCTTTGTTTGTTGAATATCTTCCGAAATTATCATGATATAGGATTGAATAATTTACAGTATCCTACCTTGCTGAAGATCGATTTTTGAGAGGGAGAGGGGCGGACTTAATTTTTTTTATTTCGAATGATTCTATTTCTACAAAAATAATAGAAGGCATGATGAACTCAATCCATTTTATTGACAACTTTGAAATAATTTTCAAGTACTTTTTTGTTTTTATTTTTACCATTATATCATTCTTTGCTGGAAAACAACAAAACTTGACAAAGCAATTTTTTTTAAGTTCATCATATTTCTAAAAATTGAGTAATTATTTTAATAAATGTAAACAAACGACTTTTATCTGGTCGATTTAATTTTATTCATTGAATTAAAACCTTTTCAACTTGCACGTCGAAGCTAAATTGACTTGCATTTTTCTAGATAATGAAAACTAAAGATCTCTATCACATTCCTATTAAAACTTACTGACAGACATGCTAGTTTGAAACGAGTAAAAGTTTATTCATCTTGATTAAAAAAACAAGAACGCATTGATTTTAAAGAGTACTCGAAATTTTTCGACTCTCCCAGTAAATCGATAATATCTACGACAAACCTATATATATATATATAGTTAATTGATCGAAATATATAATTTTGTAGAAGAAGGTTAGGGCTATCATCTAAAAAGAAATACATGAATGGAGTACAATATTATAATCATTTTACTAATCTTTAGTAAATATTTTCAGCTTACATTTTTTGAGAAAAAAACTTTTTTTTTTTTTAAATAAAATATCTAAATGATTTCTAAGCTTATCAGATTGAGGTTTTGTATAAATATCAATAATAAAATTTTGCCATGTGTTGACCTTGTTTTCAACCTTTTTGGAATGCTGTTAATCATTTTCTCAGATTTTTTTTTAACACTAAAATGTTTTTCATATATTGATATCATACAATAAATTAAATTCATATTTACTTAAATCTTGTTGAATAATGTTCACCCTTGAAATAAATTGGAAATAGTAAACTTCATCAAATGAAACTGTCAATATGAAGTCTTATAACATGGCAATTATAATCAGCAAATATGATGAATATTATTCCATTAGCATGATAAGTCTGATAAAAAAAAACTTTTATGAGCAAACAGACATAATTATTATTAAGAAAAAATTCTTTTTGAATTTTTCTCAAAAAATGTAAAATGAAAATATTCACTCATGATTAGTACGATGACTATAATAGTGATTTTAGTACTATAGTTCATCATGATGAGGGTTGATTTTGGTTTAACACGATTAGAAAAAATATAAGTCGATCTCTAAAAATCAAAATTAACTTTTGTAGACTTTTTATTTACTCTATTATCTTCCTATGATCTAATCTTAATCTCTATAAATCATACGCTCGTTATTGAAATATAAATCTCAGCTTTTTCTATAAAATAATAGAATAATGGACTGATATAATGGAATCAATTAAAGAAACAAACAAACAAAAATCAATTTCATCGATATTTGTTATGATACACATTATTATTCTAATTGATTCAAGTTGTTAATATTGTATGAGTATCTATTCTGAAATTTACAAAAATGTCGATATTTCACTATTTTCAAAAGATTTCTCTTTTTATTAAATATTTTTATCTGAATATTTTTATTGTTAACAAGTCTTCTTTGCATATGTAAAAAGAAACCTTATTTAGTCAAGCAACCAGATGCATTTATTACTCTAAATAGACTTTCTTTGTTTTTCAAAATTCATAAAAAAAAATAGATGAACATATTTTCTCTGTCTCTTCAACCGAACTAATTTTTTAAAAGTCCTCATTTCTAAAAAAAAACAAAAAGAGCTTCATATATCTCTCGAACAAGTCGGCATCAGAAAGATAAATATATATCCATAAGTAAGGATAAATACACATACAAATATGTATCCTACACTCAGCAGTCATCAGTTGTTAAAACTGTGAATGTAAACAGAGCGCAATGCATTCGAATAAACATCTGCTAACATGGTACCATTCTATTCTTTTGTAAAGCCTAATCTATACATTTTGCCCAATAGGTGGTCTTGCTCATGATAGTAAGTCACACAAATACAAAAACGTGTAAACATACTAATCGAATTAATTCAATGAATTCATTCATGTGCATTATCTATCCGTAAAGAAAAAAAAAAGGGAAGATGACACGTTTAAGAAAAGACTGCTTAATAACTCATATAGAAAAATACCGCCGACATATATTAGTATAATAACATCAATCAAAGTTCCTATGGATGTTTATAGAATGACTTTATCGACAATAATAGCGGCATTTATTTAAACGTTTCCATATTGTCTCGATATGTTGTGTTGTTCAATTTTCTGCTTTTATACAATAAAAAGAAAAAACAAGATTAAATAGAAAATTCTTTGATCTATAGCACATTTTTTAAGTGTGATATACGACAAAAAAACAAGTTTGCATCTCTATCAACACGTTAATGAAGCTGATCGGTAGCAGTTTTTTTTTCCCCTATATATTTCTTTCAATGTGCTAATGGATCGAATGGTGACAATGAAGATGGGCATACACACATATATAATAGATAAGGTGTGTGACTATTGACACATCATCTGATATAATAATTTATTATTATTTATCTTATATACATATATATATATATTTCTTGCTGAGTAAGATAACAAATAATTATATAAGACTTTTTCTAGTCAAGTGTTATTGTTGATTTAATATAAATTGAATTATACGCTTGATAGAATATGAGAAATTGAATTTTATTACAAGCAAAAAAAAAAAAAAAAAAAAAAAGAAAAGTAAGTTACAAGAGTGTTAGTTGACCAGTTCCACTTCCATCACAACTATTGTCACTACGTTCTTCACTATATTGTGATGCATCAAAACAATTGCTATCATCTTCTGATGCAAAACCACTTAAAACATTATCATGAAAATTTTGTTGTCGTTGTAAATGATGTTGATGATTATTTAAATGATAATCATTTGTATATGAAGGATATGTTTCATTAAAAGTTTTCCATGGACCACCTGAATGATATTGTACTTCAACAAGTGATGCTGGTGGTAAACCAATATTCATATCATTTGGTACAGGTGATGATGCAACTAATGGTATACCATGATTAAGACTTGATAAAACTTTTTGTTGTTCTTGAGTTTGTTTTACTAATATACTTTTCTTTTTATCTTTACATCCTATTGATAAAAGAGAAAAAAAATTATTATTCAAAAACAAAAACAAAAAACATCTTTTTAATTCTTCTTACGTTTATTTTGAAACCAAACACGTATAACACGTGGTGATAATTGTGTCATTTCAACAAGTTGTTCTTTCATAAGTGCGTCCGGTCTCGGATTTGCACTATAGCATGTACGTAATGTTAATAATTGTTTTTCATTTAATACTGTACGCATACGTGTTGTTTTATCTTTACGTATAAGATTTCCATTATTTGTTGTTGATTTTGATGTATTATTAAGTCCTACTGTTACTTGATTTGATGAACTTGATGCTGTAGATGAAGATGATGAAGTTGGTGGTGGACGTAATGGAATATTATTGTTTGTTGCTAGAAAACAATTGAAATATTATTGAAGATAAAGAAAATACTAAACATATGATGGCTGTCAATATATATTTTTTTAATGAAGTGAAAGTTTCCGACTATTATCAATTGATATTGACTTGAATTCTCAATAGACAATACTATCAAAAACGATTTAATTCAAACAAAACAAAAAAAATGATCATTGTCTTTTGCTCTGATCGTAAAAAAAATTGAAAATATCTCTTATCAATCGACACGTGCATTTATTGACTGTATCCGGTTTGAAAGAAGAAGAAGAAGAGAAAAAAAAACGGTATTGACTGATTAGTAATCTTAGTATATATATATAGTGTGAAAAGAGAGCACCCCAGACTGATCTGACTTCCGTCATGAAAAGCATGCCGTCGATTCCTTCCTTCACGCCATAGTCACATCCGAACGGATGTAAATGTGTATGCACGGCATACGTTTTTCTTTTTTTCTTACCTGCTGTTGGAATTCCAGCTGAATCTGATGATGAAGATGATGATGATGATTTTGATTCTGTACAACTAGTTTCATTTAATGATAATTGTTGAAAATGTTGTCGACATAAAATTTCATTCTGTCTATGGATATAATATTCATCACCCGATGTAAGTAAACGATCACAATGATCACAACGAAAACAATCTGTATGAAATCTTCGATAAAATGTTGTACGAATAAATAAATCATTTTTAGAAAATGATTGATGACATTTGGCACATTTAGATACAAACAATCTAATTCAAAAAATAGACAAAAAAAAAAAGATATAATTGCATGTTTATCAATAGAATTAATTCTACTAAGTGAAATCTCTGCATGCATCATTGTATTGTTCACTCGGATGCAAGCTGTTCAAGCGAGAGTCACAAAAAAAAAGAAGAAGCCAAACCGGTCAAGTAAATAATTCATTCATAGTTTTCTCCTGACAAAATGCCGTTTATAAAAGAAATGTACCGTATATAATCAAATTTGCAAAAAGTTTTTCCATCGAGAACAAAACATGTTGTAGTTTCATCTAAATATTGCCCACATTCATAACATTTTAAACATTGTATATGCCATTCAAGATCAGGTGCAACTTTTAATAAATATTGATCATAAATTTGACAATTACAACCTGCGCATATTGATGGATATTTTGTATCTTAAAAAATAAAAAGAAAAATAAGTATTTTTCCTATTTTTTTTTTCTTTTACCTGTTGGATAATCATTGTAACCATTATCTTGATAATGATGCGGTAAATAACGAGATAATTTAAAACTATTCTTCATAATATTGATGATCTATGGAAAAGTATAGAGTATCCGTTATATCTTTTTCTTTTTTCTTTTAATATATGAATCACCGACAAAGTAGAATCTATATTACTGAATATGTCAGTTTCTCTCGTTTCTTTTTTGCATAATAAAAAAAGAACTCTAAGAATAGAAAAAGGAAAAGAAGCTTTTTCTTTTTTTCTCGGGTTTTTTTTTCCTACTGCTTACAGACATTCTAAAGGGGAGGAGAGTGGTTATTATTATTATTATTATTCTTTTCCCGTTTCCTGTTGGTTGAGCGGACCATTTTTTCATTGGTTGATCGTTCGTGAAAGAGCATACATAGACAAACAACAAAACGCTTTTTTCTTCTCTAAAGCAAGCAACCAAACGATGAACATAAATGAAAGAAATAGAAAAAAAGAAGATTTTTTTTTCCGTTTTATCGTACATTAACCATCACATTCAATCTTGAAGAAGTTGATAGTTGAGGTTAAATTGACAAGAGACAACTATGTTTATCCTTCAAATGGATTTTAACCAACATATACATATATATAGTGTGCGATTAGTTCAATATACAATATTAAGATAGACGCTGAGCTATTATCTTTGAATGAGAATCGAAAAGCAATTATTTCATTTAGACAAGAGTACATATAAACAAAATATATGCTCTTAAAAGTTCTCTCTTTCTTCAATGATAGGTGCATTAAATGACATATGGTCAATGTTAGTTTTGCACCTTGTATATAAAAAGAAAAAAAAAACACACACACTCACACACACACACACACGCATAGAAAATATCGAACATTCCTTCTCATTTTTTTTAGATCGCTGTTGATGAAATAAAAAAGAGAAGACTAAATAATTAATTGACAGCATCTTTATTCTCGAAAAAGAAAAATGTTTATATATTTAAACAACCGTATCATTGTTTGTATGTGATTTATCCAAGCGAATATTTGAGTCTGCAAAATGAGTAGAATATTATGGCGGCTCCGCCTTTATATCTGGATAGAACGACATATAGCCAAAAAAAAAAGAAGAAAGAAAGCTTTCATCCCATTGCCTTAAGGGTGAACGTCATCGAATATTGTACTTGATGTGTATTCGAAAAGTGCTAGTCGTTTTAAAGCTTCAGGGTACTCTGATCATCATCATCATCATCAAGCTCCATTAACACGTTCGAGCATTTCCTTTTACTCCTTATCTATAAACAAAAGAAGCAAAGATTGATTTAATCAAATATAAAGATGTAAAGAAAAAGAAAGTGGATGTGACATGATTTTCTTTAGTCCTGATATCTTTATTAAATCCTGTTGATAGTTGTTTTTTTTTTTTGGTTTTTATAATAGACTCATGAATATCGCAAGATTATACTATCAAATATAATAAATGAACATTGAACAGAGATCATATTTCAATATGATTGACCATCTGTAAGTTTTGTGACAGTGACAATCATGAAATGTGACTTATGATATAGTTGAACATACACTACTAATCTGTCGTTCAGTAGGTAGAACACACATACACACACACAAAAAAAAAAGGACAATGAGTAGATAGATTGAATGCCATTACCGACTTTCTTTCTGGCGACCAGATGACAGGTTACTGCTTGTCCATTCATTTGCCTTAAGGCATACTTTCAATCAGAGTACAACATATAATGACAATGAAATGATTGTTATAAGTCGTCGTTCTTTTCACTCGTATGATTGAAATCTATCGACTTTCTAATGGATGGATAATTAGTACTACGCAGTAGTTTATTCATCATCAATGATGATAATATTCACTTCTTTAAATAGATTGTATGCCGGATGACAAATGATTAAAAAAAAAACAAAAAAAAAAATTCCTTTTTTGGTATTTTGCATATTTTATTTTTATATGCATATGAGAAAGATGAAAAAAACCATGCATGCACTCTTGCATGTTTCAATCCTATTAGATAAATGTGTGAAAATCGAATGTTGATGAGGGGTGGGCAAGTTGGAAACAAAAAAAAACGTCGTCGTCTCTCTCACATACTAATTATTATGTGAGAAGAACCGTATGGCACTAAAAGTAATTAACTTATGTGCATATTTTTGATTATTGATGCAATAAAACAATGACTATTTAGTAAATATGATGAGTTTCTAATTTGCAATAACTAGATTGTATGTACACACGTGAGAATAAGGCGGAGCTTGAATAAGTAATCAGGTAAATTGAGAGAAAGTTATTGAAGAAAATTAAAAAGAAAGTAGATAATAATAAAATAATTTGATAAGTAACATGATTAAAATTTACAAAAGAAACGTACAAAGATTATTATCTGAAGATTAAATATGCTTTTTTATTTTGAATAGTTTGTTTAATAATTGTCAAAAGAATAAAAAGTACTTAAAATCCAATTGATGAAAATTATTCCATTAAAAATCAAAATTTTTGCAAAAAAAAGCAAGATTATAGGCGTTATTAGAATCAAAAAAATTTTTTTATTGATTTTGTTAGTGGGAAGGTTTCCGATCTGTTGAGTATCATATGTCTTGATGTAGGAGGGACGGAGTGAACTAGTCTTCTCTTCATGAGAACTCTAAATACTGGATGGCATGGCTCAACTGCTTGGTGAGGAACTCAGATTCTTTTAGCTTGACCTGGGTTATATTGCTAATTTTGAAGATCATTCTTCATTGATTAAAATATCGTTTTTCTCTATTCAAATGTTGTTGTTGTGAATTTTAAATTACAAATCAAATAATCATCAACTAAATTACAGTTTAAAAATCGGCACGTATCAATATCACTGATGAAGGAATATGCACAACTGTCGAATACTGTTTGACCTGATATTATGATTATGAATAAATCAATGTGAAACTAAGAAAAATTTTAAAGGATTTGGGCTTATGACCTTCTGGTGAATATTTATGAATGTTTAGCTGGATTATTTTGTCAGAATAAGACATTTTCGAAAATATCAAAATGAAGACTTTTGCCCTGAAATGTTGCCTATAAATAGAGCTAATGGTCATTGAAAACTTCTTGAAGTTAAATAATAAAAAGCAAACGTGATGTACTCAAGACACTAAACTTTCAAGCGGATTTGACTATTGTGTCTTACTATAGTAAGCTGCTATTTTTTGAAAACTGAATATTTCGAGAACGACATACTTTTTTTCTCTTTGAAACTTTCACAAATATTTAATGACTATTAGGGAATATTTCAAGACACAATTCTTCATTTTGATATTCTCGAAAATACCATGTTCTGACAAAAGAATCTAGTAAAACAGTCATAACTCGTCGTTTGTAGATCATATGTTTGAATCCTTTTTAGTTGTTCTCACTCTTACAGAGATCTACTCATAGCGATAATATCAAGTCGAACAACACCCGACAGTTGGGGATACTCTCTTGTGAAAATTAATTAAACTTAATCTAACGAGGAAACTCCTTCAATTGATAACCTCCATTCGAAATCATATTGTATTGATTATTAAGATTCATAATATCCAATACGTTTCATCCAAAAAACCAGCATTTTTGCAACTCTCTTATCTTAATAAAGAAGGATTCATTTTCACTGAAACTGTTAGAATATTATAAAAATTATGCTTGAAATTTCAGACTAAAATTCTTTAATTCAATTTTCTCTTTTAAAGACATTGATCTGCACAATCGAATCTAACAATTAATCAAAAAATGAACTCAAACGAAAGTTATCAATAGGAAGAATTTTCCTTGTAATTCAATGTCATTAGCTGACATCTATCGAATAATGAATCATTGGTTAAAATTGAACCAATTCGAAAGAATGTTTCTTTGTGTCAAAAAAATCCTTTTATGATTGCTTTAATCACGATCAAGCTTTTCAATGTCAATAAAAGGCAAAAAGAAAAATATTTACTTAATTGAATTTGTATAAATAGCTACCTGTTTTATTGTTATTTTGGTCAATTTATCTAGATGATTCCCGTCCGTCCAGCTAAACGTTTTCAATCGGCTGCTCATGTTAAACTTGATCGACCAAGAAAAGATTTTTTAAAAGGTCAATTTTTATTTGCACCTGATATATCTATACCTGAAAATGATATTTTACCAACTCCAATAAGTGATAAGTAATAAGAATAAATTATTTCTTTAATTTTTAAAAATTTATTTCATTAAAATTTTTTCTTTTTTATTTTTATTCAAGTGAAAAATCTTTAATATTAGCAAGAAAACTTTTACATGAAGATATTTTATCATCATTACGTCGAAGTAAACGAATAGGTATAGGAAAATATAAATCTGCAACATCATTTGATTCATTTGTTGAAAGTCAATGTGAAGATGGTATAGAAGCACGTGATACTGGTACAATTAAAGGACGTGGAGTATTTACAACAAAAAAATTTTATCGTAATGATTATATTGTTGAATATGCTGGAGAATTATTAACACAAAATGAAGCCAAATATAGAGAAAATTTATATGGAAGAAATCATAAAATTGGTTGTTATATGTATTATTTTAAATGGGGAGAAAAAATTTTTTGTGTTGATGCAACCGAAGAAACTAATCGACTTGGTTAGTAAAAAAAAAGAATCTCGAAAGTTATTTTTCATACAGATTTCATAAATACATACTTAATGAATTAAATGAAGAAATGTAATCTATTGTCATATAAGAAACATACATATATGTTGACGTAGATAATTTTCATCTAATGAGGGAAGTTCTCAACGGATTAATCACATTTGGAACTACGTGCATCATATAAACCCTAATGGGTTATGAATATCTCGAAAAGATTTTCAGGCACATCGTTTATTGCTGCCAATATATTGCATTTTTAAAATATTTTTCAATAAAATGCCGTGTTTCCCTTAAGGAACACTAAGAAAACTGATTTTTGACTGGGAACTTTGCATAGAAACAAGTCTCAACGAGAATAATTTATTACACAAGCTTTAGGTATTTTTTTATATCGCTTATATATATCCACAGATTCGATGTTTTTATTTCAGATTAGAAGCAAATTCAATGGTCTGATACATCTACGACTAACTATTCTTGTAAGGACTGGTTTCTATGCAAAATTTCAAGTTGAAAACCAGTTTTCTCAGTGTTTATGAGAGGGAATCACGACATTGTAGTGGAAAATATAATAAAAATGAGGTATGTTAGCAGAAATAAACTATCGGACCGAATTCTTTTAGGAGGGACGAAACTCATCCTGACTTGATCCTTCCACAACAGGCAATCTACCCGTCCTATTCACCTCATAATAGCATTGTCTGCTTATTTTTATTACACTTCCTGTCAGAGAAAGCCAAATAGTTTTTGAAAAATCCGATTTCTGTTCAGAGTTACCACGAACTTGTAAAAAATTGGCAGAAAATATTTAAGAATTTTAGCAAGAATTGAGGCTAGAGACCAGTGGAGTCACGTTTTTTTTAATTCCGAAACTTTTTTCTATTAAAATCAAGATTTCCAGTTTGTTAATAATAATGATGAAGAAGATATTGACATTTTGGATTTTTGACATAAACTACAGGATTTATTTCCAACGTTATCTTCAATTGCTAGGAAAATCTTTGCAATACCGACTTCAAACATTACGATTGAACGTCTTTTCTCATCATCGAAAAACAGTGTCGACGAGCGTAGAACAAATTTTAGTGGTGAAAAACTTAATCAGCTCATGTTTCTTAAAAAAAAAACTTAGTTTTATAGAAAGAATTTCGTTAGCTCAAGAAGGCATCAGCAAAAAAATCAAATTTAGATCCAGTTTCAATTATGTCAGGACATTCAAGTGAAACAGTAGTTAAAAAAGCACGTGAAGAAGATGAAAATATATTTAATGACGAAAGTGAAGATATTGAATGGTGCTGATCTTTTTTTTCGCAATAATCATTTGTAAAAGTTCATCTAATGTAGATGTTTTTTTTTTGAGATTTTTCTATTTGATGTTACTTAGTAATTGGATTAAAAGTTCTTGCTAATAAGAAGTTACAATTGTGACAAAATAAATGTGTCACAAGAAAAGAATGTAATAGGGTTTTCGGAGTTAGATGTAGGTTTCTAGGTGGGATATTCCAACGGATGGAAGCCCTCTTAACCGAGAACTCAAGTCTACATGACACATATAAAAACAAGCCTAAAGAAACTTTATTAAGAATATTACATTGTTTTCGAATAAGTTCATTGAAATAGTCAAATTCATATGTTAATGTATAATCGTATCCTTAGTGAACTGAATTAATAATTTTTCAAAACAGTATTTATTTATGTTATCTGTATGAAAAAAATACTTTAAATAAGTGTCGATCACTAATAACAAAATCAATTCATGTTGAATTGATCAAAACTAATAATTAATTCATTCATATTTAGAAAAGAATAAAATTTTTTTTTGTTTTAGGTCGTCTTATTAATCATAGTCGAAAGAATAGCAATTGTCAACCAAAAGTTTTTGTTATACGAGATCAACCACGTCTTATATTAGTTGCTTTACGTGACATTCAAATAGGTGAAGAACTTTTTTATGATTATGGTGAACGTCGTAAAGAGATTATTGAAGCATTTCCTTGGCTTAATGAGTAGTTTTATTTAATTAGTTATATAATTTCTATCGAATAGATCTGTATGATCTAAAAAAAACAGAAAAATCAAATAAAAATTTCATCCCTTCTAATGATATTTTCCTCCTGATATATGCACACATATAGTTGATACTAGTCATATTTCTGTGTGTTGTTATTTGTGTTTTTTTTGTCTGCTATTGCTTCTTCTTTCTATGTATATACAACATAATAAATACGGATCATTTTTTTTCTTTGGAAATGAATATGTTATTTTTTTTTCTCTTTATTTACGAAATTATTGTCCACGCATAAGATAGGATGCAACAGGTTCAGCAATACATAATGGTAAAAAACTTAAAGTATACATAAAAACACCAGTAAATGCAGGAAAAACAATTTCAGCTTGATTTCGACGAAGACCATGAAAAATTATTTGAACAGCTTTATCTATTGAAATACCACGTTCAACCGATCGAGGATAAGAGCCAACAAGCATTGGTGTTAAAACAGGTCCTGGTGAAATTATATTAACAGCTATATTATCTTTAGCTAGTAATCGTCGAAGATCAAGACCAAATGAAAGAATACATTGTTTTGTAGCACCATAAATAGGAGATACAAATGGTGCATAAGCTGCTTGTGATGATATAAGAGCTATTTGTTTAACGCCTTTAACTTCAATCAATGGCATAACTGTATTTATAACACCATTGATATTAATATTAAATGTATCACGAACTGCTTTATCAAATGTATTTGTTAATGCATGTTGACGATATGAAAGACCAGCATTAGCAAAAAGTATATCAATTTGACCATATGTTCGATGAATATCAAGAAGAACACGTTTCATTTCATCGGAATCAGTTACATCACAAGGATATATCATTAATTTTTTTTGATCATCAGAATTAAAACGATTTTTTACTATTTCAAGTTTTTCTTTACTTCGACTAATCATAATAATTATTTGACATGACGAACAATTTTTCAAATAATATTCTACGAGACCTTCACCAATACCTAAATAGAAAAAAAAAATATATCTATATAATTTGAATATATAAACAAACCTTGTGAAGCTCCTGTTATAATAATAATTCGTGGAAATTGTGGTGCTTGAATATTATCCCATTCATTTTGTTTTTTATTTAAAAAAATTTTTATAATAAACCACAATATATAAAAAGGATAATGAATAAACCAGGCTAGAATTTTTAATCGTAAATTATCATCATAAGATAACATAATTGAATTTTTATTTCTATTTTTGTATTCAGAAAGATATTTATTTAGTATGTTATCTCAAACCCTAGATTTTGCTTGTGGTGGTCTCTAGAATTTTCATACGAATAATTCTTGACAGTATGATAAACATATGTCGATATTATGTTTCTTTTTTTAGTTTTCAACAATATCGTAAACAAATGTCTGGATCTATTCATTACTGTCAGATTTTTCTATAGATGCCGTTAAAAAAAAGTTCATATAGAAATCATTTATAAGAAACAAACGTCATCTATTTCAAATAATACAACACACACTTCAGTCAAAGATATATATATATTATCAAAACATGAGACAAAAACAAGGAATGTCCTGAAAATGACATCTATGCAATAAATTCTTTTGATTGGTTAAAAGTCCTCTACCTAATTCTGTTCGTCCGTCCGATCTGTGTTTATTTCTCCTGCTTCATTATTACGGATCATTTATTTGACTTATTTAAATTTTCGTGATGTTTTTAAATTTCTAAACAAAAAAAAAAAAAGTAATGAGTCAATCAAGACAAACATCTGGTTTAACAACATCTACATCTCATTATACATCATCCAGATCATTAAATTCACCATCAATAAAAGCACTTCAACTTGAATATGCAAAATTACAAAAAGAACCAGTAGAAGGTTTTACTGTTAAACTTGATGATGATTCAAATTTGTACAAATGGCATGGTAAAAATCAATCATTCAATCATATGAAACATTTTTTTATTGATTTTTTTTCTTTATTCTAGTGGGAATATTTGGACCACCAGATACTCTATATGAAGGTGGTTATTTTAAAGCTGATATGGAATTTCCAACAACTTATCCATTTGCTCCACCAAAAGTAAATAAATCTTACTATAAAATAAGAGTCAAATCATAAAAAAAAATTATTGACAACAAAGTTATCTCGATATAAATTAATATGATTTATAGAATCATAAGAACTTAAAGAATATCAGAAACTTTTAATATATATTTTTTTATTCTATAGATTTCATAAAAAAAAGAAAATTCATGTACTTTCTGCACTAGATCGTTGAGGTCAAAATGTTCTAGTCATATGTTAATAAGTTCCATTAACACTTCAACCTTTGTCTTATCAATTATTTACATTTATCATATTCAAGAAGATGAAAAAGAAAGAAAATTTTCATGAAATTCTTCATTTTATCAGTCCAATTGATCAATTGAGTTTAACATTGTGTTTATTTTTGCGAAAATGATTAATTTGCTTAGCATTGATATTTATATAAAAAGGAAGAAAAAAAAAGATTCGACTTGATTTGTTTCTTTTTCTTTTTCTTTTTTATTGTTCTATACATCAGATATTTAAGGTTTTAGTTTGACAGGTCGATATATGTATATCTATATGATCCAAGTTCAAATAGCATGATAATATCACAAGGTCTAGATAATTCTAAATTTACCGTGAAATGAGGCGAAAAAGGATAATTTTTCTATCCTGATTCTTTTGTATAAAAGTTTCTTTTTTTATTTAAATGATTGTAGTCTTTCGTTTTTTTTTTAATATTTTATAATTTTTATCAGCATTATTGAAAAATCGACTATTAACTGATGGCTCATAAAAGAATGGATTTATCAGTATTTTGTATTTTTCAATATAACGAGACAATTTTGTTTTTTTCTGCAATAGATTTCTCGTTCGATTTTCTGCATATCTATTGTTTGTTTAGATCCAATGAAACGAATAGATTGAACTTTGTGAGTCTTTCTTTTAATCATACAAGCAGTGGCAGCTCGATCGGGGAAAGGTGTAACACCTCCTTCACTCTTCCAGCAAAACTAGAATTTCCTTTATAAAAAATCATGACACTGCTTCGAGTTACCACTTTAATAAAGTATTAATCCGAAATTAACTCTAATGAAGTCTTTCGTATCTGGAAGAAATATTTTCCCTCCCTCAAAAAAAAAAGTCGTTCTGTTCTTTGAAATCAAGAACGTCAATGATGGTTTCGAAGGTATTGTACCAATTTCAATCTTATGGAATAACAATAATAGTTTTCGTGCGGTTTTTCATCATTGGAAAGAGATGATAAAGTCGCATCGAATTCTAAAGATGTTTTCCTGAAGCTGTTTAAATTAAATTTATGAAAAGAAAGTGTTGGAAAAATACTTCCTTTTAACATGAAGAAAAAATATTTCTCATTCACCTTTGTTTTTTTTGAAATATACATTAATTGCGAACTTATATTTAATTGACGCCTTGTATAATTAAAAGCAAGGTGAATAAAATAACGTATGCTACTTTATTTAAGGTGGCCTGCGTTCTATGACCCAAAAAATTTTGTTCTGAGGTGACAGTCTTATGAGTTTATCTTATTTATTGACTCATAAACAATTCTATATTTAAAATTTGATACACAATAAATAATAATCTCGAAAAATTCAAAATGAATATAAGAGAAAAAAGATACATCCAAAATTTTCTCATACACGGTATGTTCGATCGAGTGCATTTTTCTTCTCAAAATGTTGTTCCTATGAAATTCGACAGTCTTTAAAATATTAGTATCATTGAAAGAAAATGTATTTTTGATTTTGCTTCTCTTGAGCTCTATGCTTTGAAAGTTTCATAATTTTAGAAACTCTGAAAGAAGAAGAAGGTCTCGTAGATGAAAGATACAAATTTCTTTTATGAGCCACTCGTTAGTTAATCATCTTATAAATTTTATGCTAGGTACGTTTTCTTACAAAAATGTGGCATCCAAATATATACGAGTAAGTTTTGAAATAATTTTTTCGATGTTTTTGAATAAATATATGATTATTTGAATAAAGAAATGGTGAAGTATGTATATCAATTCTCCACCCACCAACTGAAGATCCACAATCAGGTGAACATCCAAGTGAACGTTGGAATCCAACACAAAATGTACGAACAATTTTAATGTCAATAATAAGTTTATTAAATGAACCAAATTGCTCATCACCTGCTAATGTTGATGCAAGGTAAAATAATAATAATAAAACAAAATTATTAGATTTTTTCTTCAATTTTAAGTGTTATGTATCGAAAATATAAAGAAAATAAAGATAATGAATATGAAACAATAATAAAAAGACAAGTTAATGAATCACGATTAATTGCTGAACAAGAAGGTATAACTATACCAAAAACACTTGATGATTATGTTGCACCATCACGTGCTGGTGCACTTGGATTAAATAATGGAAAAAATGGTAAAAAATCCGCTTATAATACCTTATCACATGAAGATGATGTTGATCTAGGAATTGATGTAAGATTTTTTTTTTTTTTTGTACAAATCATTCTATTATTTTTCGTGTTACATAGGATGATGATGATCAAGTGGCTGATATGGCTGATGATGATGATGGATCTTATGATGAAAGTGATTAAGAGAGAAAAAAAAAGCCCAAAAGAATTTTTTTTTTCTTTTGTATCTCACTATTTGTCTTATATAGATTTCATTAACAAAGCTTTTCTTTTTTCATAATAATAATAATAATTATTTTTCCTCCTTTATTTGTAAAAATCTAGAGGTGCTCAAGCATTATATATTGTATGTTATAATTAATTCTTGTAGATATGACATCAGAATCTGTTGGAATTTTATCATCACCTGATCGATCAAGTTCACCATCATTAACAGAACAAATTGTTCATGAATTATATACAACAAATCAGATATTTAATGAGTATACCGGCGTTACGTCACAACAGATACGTTCACCGGGAAAACGACAATTGACAATCGAAGAATCACTTGTAACTACTAATGATCCTAAACGTGTTTGTAACAGGTAAATTTTATTTTAAAACTCTTCCTCTGAAAAAAATCAATTATAGATATTGAGTTAAGTGCATGGAAGAGTAATCCGAGATTTGACTTTCTTTTTGAGAAAACTTTTGATGATTTCTTGCTTGAAAAATATGTGGCTTTCAGAAAAAGTAATAAATCTTTTTCTAGAAGGAGAGCTTCATTGTAGTTGCTTATGAGGGAAGTCCTTCAATTAATAAGTTTCTACTCAGTCTAGACTAAGTGTATAATGTAGACTCAAATAACTTATGAATTTGGATCTACATTATATATGTTATTTTTAACTTAAAAAACGATTTATCAGTTGGAGGATTTCTTTTGTCAGATACAGTTTTGAGAAAGGCATGCTATCAAGAATTTTTTCGTTCTAAAGACGTGTTGCGTTTATTTTTCAAATAAATTTTTTTATTTATTGGTGCTATATTTTTAAATATTAATGTTTATTCAATCGTTCAACTGCGACGGTCAAAACAAAACGAAAAAATGATGAAAATATTTTAAACAATGATCTGCTGAAATTTCAAATATGCCGCAAAATTCTACATCTTCGGATAGAAATTTTTGCGAGAAAAAAATGCACGGTTGGGCAAGAAAAGCTACTTTTCGTGTCGAATCGTATCAAAAGTTATTTTTGTCATTTTTTCGTTTTCATGTTTATTTTTGTAAAGAAATAAGTTTTTCATCATGCGATATCTTGTTCTTAGTTTTTATGCACAAAAATAAAATCATACAACTAATATAGTCTTATCAACAAAGTAAGAACAGTAAATAAAACAAACATCAGTACTAACATTTAAATTAATGTCTTATGACACTTCAAAGATGTTAGGTGGTGAAAAAATTTGAACAATGCGATTTCGTTAAAAGTTCAACTGATGTAACAGGACTACACATGATGTTTTCAGCAAGTTTATTAAGCGATTGATATGAATTACGTTTTAGGAAAATAAAATCATTGACTAAAATTTCTTCCTTTAGAAAATCATCAATTTATTCTGAAATTTGTTTTAGTGTTGAATTATCAAATTTTACTTCTTTTGAATGAATGACTCTCAACGGCACCTAACTTTCGAGACCAAGTTATGATTCGGACTCGCTAGTAAAAAGATTCTTATCTGACAGGATTACGTGATGATGCTTTTTTTAATTCGATACAATCTAATTGTTTTTACTCTTCAACTTGGCTGTCATACAGCAAATCTTGCTTCAGAGAAAATTTTTTTTTTTCTAAAATGCGTACAAAAATCCTGCCAGGTATTAGTTCGAAGTGTTTTCTCGTACTGCGTTACTATTTAGATTGATCTTGATGAGCAAAAGGTTAACACATATTGGTAGATATCTGAAGAAAATCGCAGTTAGATGATTTTGCAAGCATTTGTATTTTAAATCTTATTTCAACAAAAAAAAAAAAAAAACTTATTTGAAAAAGAAACTCAACATTTTTGTAGAACGAAAACTTCTCTATCGAAAAACTTTCTGTAAGTGTATCAGAGCAATTCAAAAAAAGAAAACAGTTTTCCTCCGATTCCCTAAAATACTACTAATTGAAGTTACAGATAAATCATATTTAATATGGATATACATTCTTCGCTTATGATAGTCATGTTCGAATTAACTACTATCATATACATGCAATAGAAATATACAGAGCCACTCTATCCTATATGGTATGGTAAGGATAAGAAAATTTTTCTCATCTCTGTGTGAACGCAAGCAACGGGTATCAATTCGCGTAGTTTCCTCGTTAGTTACCGCACAGGCTACAAAAAAAGCTTACGCTTCATATCTCTAACATGTACCTTGTCTTCATTTCATTTTTATGAATGATATCAAATTATTGTTTTATTTTTAGTAATAATTTTCGAGAACAGCTTGATCTGGAATTAATCTCATCACCTGCCATTACAATACCATCGCCATTATTACCGTCTTTTTCTTCTTCTTCTTCAAACATTATTGATTCTTTATCATCTTCACCTTGTACACCACTACCAGAGGATGTTCGCAATTGGTTATCAATATTTTTAGCTATGTCAAATGATGATCGTAGTCGTGCAACAGAAGCACTTATACGTACTTGTTCAACAAATACACTTCAATTAAATCATATTAAAAATCAAATTGAACCATATTTTCAACGTGATTTTATTCGTGACTTACCACGTGAATTAGCATTACATGTACTTAAATATTTACCGGCAAATGATGTTGCACGAGCATCACGTACATGTCGATCATGGTATACAACATGTAATGATATATTATTATGGAAACGAATATGTCATAGAAAAAAAGTTCCATTAAAACAATTACCAACAATATTTGATGATACAATTGATAATCAATGGAAACGTTCATATGCATGTCATAAACATTTAGAATATATTTGGCAACATGGACAACCATTACCAGAACCATTAGTATTACGTGGTCATGAAGATTTTGTTATAACTTGTTTACAATTTGATGGTAAACGTATTGTATCAGGTTCAGATGATAATTCATTAAAAATTTGGTCAATTGCTACTGGAAAAGTAAATCGAATTCTGTTTTTTTTTTTTGAACATTTAATGAAATAAATAGATACATCTGTTTTTGTTTTGTCTTCTGTCTAGTGTGAACAAACATTAATAGGACATAATGGTGGTGTATGGTGTAGTGAAATGACAGATGATTTAATAGTTAGTGGAAGTACAGATCGAACAATTCGTGTATGGAATATAAATACAGGTGTTTGTCAACATATTTTATATGGACATACATCAACAGTACGTTGTTTAGCATTACATGGTGATATTGTTGTATCTGGTTCACGTGATGCTACTGTTCGGTAAAAGATTAATAAATTAAAATTTATACAAACAAAAAAAATTCTATTTTGTTTTGTAGTGTATGGAATATTCGTACAGGTGAACGTCTTCATATGTTAAGTGGTCATACAGCGGCTGTACGTTGTGTATGTTATAATGGAAAATATGTTGTATCAGGTGCATATGATCATACTATACGTGTATGGTTACCTGATCAAGAACGATGTGTACATACACTTGAAGGACATACAAATCGAGTTTATTCTCTTGTCGTATGTATTGAATTTGGTTTTTTTTTATTTATTTTTATTATGAAATTTAGTTCGATGGTAAACATATTGTATCCGGTTCATTGGATTGTATGATACGTGTATGGGATGTTGAACAAGGTACATGTATACATCAGTTAACAGGACATTTATCATTAACAAGTGGAATGCAATTACGTGGAAATATACTTGTTTCTGGAAATGCTGATTCGACAGTCAAAATTTGGAATATTGAATCTGGAAAATGTCTACATACACTTACTGGTTAGAACAAAAAAAAATTTTTGAATCTATTCATTGCGTTTTCTTTTTCTTTTTCGTTTTTTAGGAAGAAATAAACATGCATCAGCCGTTACGTGGGTTCAAGTTGTAATGAATTATGTTGTTAGTTCAGGTGATGATGGAACTGTTAAATTATGGGATTTAAATACAGGAGATTTTATACGAAATCTTGTTGCACTTGAATCAGCAGGCAATGGAGGTAAGATAATATATATATACAAAAAATAATTATTAGCTTATTAAATTATTTTTGTGAAATAAGACCTAAAAGGAACGTTGAATAGGGTCTTGCGGAGTTAAACTTTTTGACTATTATATATGGGCTAAATCATTCATTAGCGATGTGATGTCGCAAAATTAAAATATGCGTATCTCGGAATAATGAGCTTTCTAAGATCCGATTTTTATATGTTGCATGAACATAAAGTTACTCGAGATACCCTAAAACAAATCAGCGCTATGACGTTTTGTTCAGAGAAGTTATCGGTAAAAAACTATCGTTAACGACGTGGCACAAAAAAAAGAACATCAATTTTTACTTCATGTATTTTAGTTTTTAAAAACTCCTAATCCATGCACAATTTTAGAAAACTGAGGCTATAAAATCTATGTACAAAAGTTTTTCTAAGCATGCCTAGACTTTTCAAAAAAATCGACTTATTTATTTGTCGTTAGCGACGTGATGCAGTACGACTACACAACCGAGAAGGTGATCCTGTAGCCAACTGAAAAGTTCGAAATAGAGTTCAAATGTTACAAATCATCACTCAGAGACTCTAGATTATGATAAGACAAAAGTTTTTCGTTTCTGTACTTTTTAGGATCTCTAGAAATCCAGTTTTTTCGAAAGAAATTTTTTGAAGTGCAATCTTACTGAAAATTCCACCATAGAGATGCGGCTCATTCCCTAGAGTCTATCCTGAAGTTTTCAGATGTTTTTCTCATATGGTTAGAGAGATATTTGTTAATTACTTTTTAATTAATTAATAGCCATGTGAAAGACCAAACATTTTCACATAAGTTTATGCTAAAAGAATTTATCCAAAAAATTCACTCTTACCAAGAATAAAACTCAAACGAAAGGTGTGAATGTCCTATTTTGCCTGATTTAGCTCATATACTTCTTTTAGTGTTACTTGTTAATGAGAATGTCTCTCTGATGATTTTTATACCTTAAACTTAATATATGAAGTATAAAATTGTTACTATGTAAAGGTAGAAATATGTGACCGCGCAAAAAATTCTTCGCGACGGCTTCGACTCCATTGGAGTCGGGCTTCGGAGTCCGATACGCAGGCCTTTAATGTCAAAGTATAGAGATAGAGATTTGGACACTTCCCACTTTACAAATCATGGCAGACTGTATGTCCTTCACGTTTTTTTATAATATCTGAACTAAGGAGTAAGCTGAAAATTTCTATACAAGATTATTTTAGGTGTAGTAAAAGTTTTTTTTTTATAAAGTCTATCACAAGAAAAATGGCTATTTTTCGATTTTCCCCTTCATAATACAAAATAAACCTTCGTTATAACTATCAATTGTTGTGTTATTTTGTAGAATAGGAATCATCCTTCAAGTACAGAACTTATTTGATGTCCACAGGAAGAAGATTTGTATTCAGAAATTTTCTTTTTTTGAGTCCTGTCAAGATTGACTTATAACTAAAAAGTCACAGAAAAATTCTAAGCATACATTGTAAAAGAGTATAAAATCATCATTCTGATACATGACTTCTCAGCCTTAAATGTGCGAAAAATAGTCTCCCTATTATTAGCAATAACAACTACATTGTGTTTCACAATTTAATCTTTTTATTCTAATTACTACATTCTCTTATTATAATTAACATGTCTAAAATGAAAATGGTTTTTTTTTGTAGGTGTTGTTTGGCGTATTAAATGTACAGATTCAGCATTAGTATGTGCAGCTGGCAGTCGTAACAGCACAGAAGATACTAAAGTGATCATGCTTGATTTCGATCGCACAACGATTTGTTCATAGTGTTATATGTGTTCTATTGTCTTTAATTCTATGTCTTTTAAAACGTTTGTCTAATTCTCATGTTTGTTGTCTCTCATGTTGATTATTCTTTTTTTTTTTCTTTCATTTTGTTTCTTCACTATTCTCAGTGTGCCAACTCTCTCTCTATTGTCGATTTTTTCCTTCTTCTCTTTCTTTTTTCATTGTTCTATTGATTTCTTTTTCTTTTTTTTTTTTATATATATATATATTATTATTAACTCAATGCACACTATCCCTCTTGTATCACGTCTTCATCCCATTAGTAAGAGAAGAAGCACGCGACAAAAACATATATATATGTGTATGAAAAAAAACCCAAACAGAAACAAAAATAAACTTCAACTAGTTTTTTTTTGATCTCTAGAAAACAACAAAAAATGGCTTTTACATTAGACGAATTTCATCAATGTATATTTGATCTATATGAACAATCAAAAAAACTTCATGATCGATGGCAATTAATTGAAACAACAAAAGGATCATATTTAATTTATTCATTTATTGATACAAATTGTTTAAAATATGAATTTCATATTGTATTTAGTGAAAGTTATTCTGTACCTGTATTATATTTTAATATAAGTCATTTAGATGGCTCATTATTGTCATTAGATGATATATGGAAATTATTTATACATAAAAAAAATTCTAATATGTATGAAACAATAACACAACAAGAACATCCAATACTTCATCGACCATTTTTTGTACTTCATCCATGTCATACAGAAAATTTATTAAGAAAAGTAGCAGAACAATCAATAAAAAAACGATTTCTTTTTTGGCTTTCAATATATGGACAATCGATTGGTTTACCTTTGTCAGTTAATTATGCAATAGATTGAATTTCTCTATAAACCAACTTTTTTTTTTAAATAAATAATATTTTTAAGCTTGTTTCAATCATATGGTACTTTCTAAATGAATGCCGTGGTTAGAGTAAAACTGACTTTCGAATTTTGACTTGAAACTTTGCATAGAGACTGGCCTTAACGAGAATAGTTTTTTGTAAATATTTTCGATCTTGTTGCTGTTCCTAGCCTGAGATATAACTATGGTCTTTTCCATTGCTCATATAAACCGATAGATTTGATGCTCGTATTTAAACAAAACAAAAGATATAAAACTTTCACAATAAACTATTCTTATTAAGACCTGTCTCTATGGAAAGTTTCAAGTCGAAATTTGAAAACCATTTTTTTCAGGTATTCTTTAGGAAGATCACAGCATTCGTATCTCGGCAAATTTCAGCTCAGGGTACGAGCTTCTTTCAGAGATATTCATAGCTCATTTGGATTTACATAATGCACATAATCTTGATTCATTAAAATTATAAAAAAAAAAGGAAAAGCAATACTTTGTCATAAATTAATTGCTAGTCGATAACTATACCTATTAACAGATTCTAATGACTTAAGTTGTTGCTCTGGATACAACCCTTTACATATTTTTTGAATAAAGAAAAACGTCTTCTTCTTTTCTATCTTATGTAGATATGCACCTCACTCACAGGATCGAGTTCGATCTGATATGTATAAAACAGTTTGGCACTAATCAATGTACATTTATTCTTATAAATGTTTCCTTATTTCGTTCATTTGCTTCTTACCGCGTCTATTTTAAGGTATTCAAATATACGCAAAAGTCTTTTTTTTTCTTATATCTACTAACGAGAGAACCGTTCGAAATGAATCATTGCTTAGAGTTATAGAAAGCATATGTCACATAATTATTTCCTAATACTTCTTGAATGATTGTCAACATTCATTAAGTTTGTATTTTCATGGTTTGTATTCGTCCATGATCAAGTCATCAAATAAATGCCGTCCGTTAAAATCTTTATTGTTAATTAACGGCTATGATTCTAGTTCAATGTACATTTATTATTATTGCTTCATTATCTTTAAGTATTTTTATTGTCTATGATTAGAACATAAATGTTGCATGCAGAGAAGATTTTGTTCTTCATAGTGTTATCAGTACAATTATTAGTCTATTTTATGATGGAAAATTTGTCAAGTTTTGTCATCTCGAACAATAATTACAATTTGACCAGTATATCTTTCCATAAGAACTTTTTAACATTATATACAAAGATTTATCAAAGCTTTCTAATACTTATCACAAAAAATTTCAAAATCATTTTTACTATAATTTAAAATTCAAATAAATTTTTATTTTCAAAAACATATGAACATTTATGTAAAATAATTCATAGTGATTGTGAAAGACTATCAATTTATGCAACCAAATTTCTTATTGGGAACTTTATCTTCGATAAATTCCTTTCAATGACTAAACTAAATCCACGCTCTAAAATTAAATCCTACCACCCTAGAATCTTCGAAAACCGTTGAACAATCTTTAAAAGTAGATTTCACGCCATATTACTTCCGATAGTATTTGATTCATGTACAACTGAAATATCTAGAAACCTTGATTACTCGTCAAAACACTGGATTTCAAGCAGTTATACTGACGATAATTTGTCTGAGAACACGAAATATCTTTTAATCATGTCTCAATCGATGTAGAATTTCAACCTCTATCAGACCATGTATAAGTCATGCAGACAAAAATTATCTCAAGAGTGACTATGTTCTACGGAAATCTTAAAAATAAGATTTTAGATCGTAATATGTATGAAAATGCATTACTGTACATAAGCCATTCATGAATTATATATGAATCAAGACTAGAGATGTGTGGAATTGAAATCAAGAGAAAAAATATTCTATAGTTCAATATTCTATGTTCTGAAATGAATTATCTTATAAATCATATCAATCAGAACATAACTCAAGAGTGATGACCCGAAAAGATGTCGGTCGTTGACTAAATAAATCAAACAACGAGTATTGAAGGTTTTTTATATGTAATACGAATAAATTCTGGAATAGTTTTCTATAGACGAGAATTAAAAAACTTGATCCCGCACATCTCTCATCGAGACAATAGTAATTGAATTTTGCTCTTTATATTAGTAACGATCCGTTTGATGACATAGATTCTTGTTTATTTATGCCTCTAGGAATGCAGAACCTTCGCCTTTTTTTTTCTATTAACATATGGTATTGTCTAAAGCTATTTACATTTTTCAATCGATGTTCTACGAATTTTAATAGTTCGATTTCTAACAAAATAGTTTTAACAAATTTCTTATAGAACATCTTATACAGTAATATTTGTCTAAATTTTAATATTACAACTACTTGGTAAATGATAGCATGCTATGATTTTTCATGTGTTGATAATAATTCACTGTTGGACACTTTTTGATTCTTAATATCAAGACTAAGCGAATTTGTCATGGATTCATTCAGATTACCAAAGACGTGATCTGTGAGAAAAAATGATTTTTTTTTGTAACTGATCTTTAAAAAGAAATAAATTAATTAAAGTTCTAATTATACATGAAAAACCTAGTCTACCATATACGACGTAGCGAAAAAAAACAAGATTCTTTTTCCTCATTCTTAGTCTACATTTAATTGTCTGATTGTTGTTTTGTCTTAAATGTAATTGATCGCCAATGTGCAACGTTTATAAAATAAATGAAAGCTAGATTGTCTAGCATATATGCAGGAATTTCTTATACAATTTCAATTTATTAGTTTTAAAGAATATATATTGTAAAATATTTCATAAATAAGCACAATTGAAAATGAAGTCTGATGTCTTTTTTTTATTAATTGTTTTCAACATCAAAAAATTCGTTTCGAGGTGGAACACTTGAAGTTGGACGAGGATAGTCATTAGTATAAGAATTGTATTGATTTCGATCTTTATTACGATCTCTATTTGTGCGATCATGATTTGTTGAACCATGTGGTTCATATCCATTACCAATTTCATAATTATCAAATTCTCTCCAAGTATTAATATCTGGACAATAACGATTTGTTCCTGTATTACGATAAAGTGGAAATGATGGTTCACATCGTTCCTCTAATAAAAAAAAAAATAATAATAAATTCAGGATATAATATTTATTGAGAGAAAATAAATTACCATAATCTTCTCGTGCTTCACGTTTTTGTTCTTCACATTTTGTTGAACCGGGATGAAAAAAAGTTCGTTTTAGAAAACGATTAGCATGAACTGAGTCTAAATATATCAATAAGAATGGAACGAATTTATGATAAAATATAATACATTTGTTAGAATTCGGATAAACTCAATTGTTCGATTCATTGCGTATTAACATTATATAAAAAGTTTAACACATTCAAAAATTACTCAATCTAGAATAATATTCGAAAATAATGACGCAGCAGCAAAAATAGAAGAAAAAGAAATAATGCACTTATGATATAAGCTATATTCAAGATGCAGAAGTTATTAGATGATCAATCGATACAATTATGATATTTCACAAAAAGAAAAGAAAAGAGAAGAAAAGATGTCATTTTTCGTCATTAACACTTCGTTTGCCTCCAACACCTGCTGTAATAAGTCCACCAATAACACCTGCAATAATTTTTTCCATACTCATATTTCGTGGCATTAATTTACTCAATGTATCTAAATCAAAACCACCTCCATCTCCAATTTCATATGTATCTAATTCATGCCATTCATTAATATCAGGACAAAAACGATTACTTTTACGATCTCGTTGCCATGGAATTGATGGTTCACATCGTTCTTCTACATATTTATTTTAAAACAAGAGTTTTTTATTTAAATTGTTCCAAATGAATAATCTTCTCATACCGTAATCTTCTCGAGCTTCACGTTTTTGCTCTTCACATGCAGTCATGCCTGGATGAAAGATGCCACGTTTTCGACGAAGAAATTCATTTGATGATGAGCGAGCTACAGTATAGAACAAAGGGTAAACAAGAGAAAGAGATAGAAAGAGAGAAAAATAAGATATTTGGTGGTTTGCAGGGAAAAAAAAAGTGATTAATATATTAATAAAAGTTCATAGAAACTATTACAGAAAACTAAATAGTTATTGTACTTCATATTTAATAAAAGCCGGCCAATTTTTTAATTCTGGACAATAACGTTTTTTTATTGCATTTTTGTCTGTTAATCTAACATGAATTGATGGTTCACATCGTGATTCATATGCTGCTTTTGCTTCACGTTTTTGTTCTTCACATTTGGTTTTAAATTGTTTATAAACCCGTTTGTCGACGAGAAAGGAGAGAGCATTGAGTTCGTCTACATACACACACACATATAACGAGCGATACATTCGATTAGAATTTTTTTAAAAAAGAAAAAAGTGCGCAAGCGCAGAAACATAAACTTTAATTAAATCTTTCTTTAGATATATTTACCTTCTTCGAAATCATCGTTATTAGCAGCTTGAGCCCAATTATTGTCAATAGTAATAGCCAATACAATGGCACACACAAGAAGAATTATTGAATATTTTTTCATTGTCTATATTAGAAAAACTATGAATATTTCGAAAAAAAAACAACAATAAACAATGCATTCGATATCTACCCGTCTTATGACTTGTTATACTTCTGCAAAAGAAAAAAAATAATACTGAAGCAAATATTCTTCAATGAATAAAGATAGAAAAAAAAACACTGATGATTATTCATATTACTAGTGCCGATTAATATAAGTGTTGACAAATATATCCTATCTATATCACTCATCTTCTTTATCAAAACGATAAATAATTACTAGTACTTGAAAGACAAACATTTGTGTATTTGCTTTAGGAGATAATCTTATATAGAATAAGCAAAAAAAAACCATCTTTCATATCATCGTTATCCTATATTCATATAACATTCAATAATGAACAAATTCTTGTTTTTGGTGGTTTGTACCGCATTGATCTTTACTTTTGGTTATATGGTTCATGCTGATGATGAAAATGAATACGGTACATTTTCATTTTTCTATTGAGGAAAATATGATTCTGTTTTTTTTTTGTACTTTGATTAGCTGCGAATGATGCACAACAATTCTTACAAAAACGTCTTTTTGGTATTCCATTTCCACGTGAACAACGTCGAGAAGCTAAAGAAAAATATGAAGAACGGTAAATTGAAGACAAAAAAAATTTCTTCGAATTATATGTTTATATTGTAGATGTGAACGAGCTATGGGTATAAATAAAGTCACTGGACTACAACGATGGTGTCCAAAACTTGAAGTAAGAAATGAATTTATTATACAAACAAAATTAATATATGGATAATTTTTTTGTTTTATTAGGAATGGGATCAATGGCGTGCAGTTACAAGTGGTGATAAACGACGTAAAGGATGAATATCTAAACATGAATGCTTTTTTTTAATATTATGCACAAGAAAATAAAAAATAACCTTCTCTTCATTTTCTCGTTTTTCTTATGTTTTAAGTATCACAACATTATTATATAGTATCATTGTAGAATCCTAGAAAGTTACGATTACTGCTGAAGCTGTAATCTTCAAATAGATATCTATTATGATATGAAACCATAGGTGATTCATGGAGCTATGCGAAGGATTCCGCAAGATTTTGTGTAACTTTACAAATTCCGGAATTTTATGATGAATGTTGTTTGAAGTCTAGAGCAGACACCAACATTTTTTATCTTCTTTGCAAAAGTCTCGTTTTCCGGCAGAGTCAATGTATTCAAATATAAAGCTGACCGAAAAAAGATAAATTGATATATTTTTTCTCATGACAAAAGAATTAAGAATAAGACATGTATTTGATATTTTTTATCTGATATCAATCAACAAGAAGTTAGAAACAACAAGACAATATAAAAACAAAGTCAATTTCATATCTTCTCCTTTTCTACTTAGTAATATGTGTAGATAAGAATATTAGGTCATGATTGTCATATATAATGAATAATAAGGTTTTAATCTATTATTCATTCCAAAAAAAGAATGGACTCAATTGTTTACTGAATAACTCGGCAATGCTGATAGCTATTGAGCTTGGATTTTCGTTGCTGGAAGGAGCATGAGTGGGAGTACAAGTCTATTTAAGAATCAAAATATTTGAAAAGTTTTCTAGAGAATTCCAGGGATTTTTTGGAAAATCACTATCTAATTCGCTTGATTGGGTGTATTTTGAAGTGAAATTGAAAATACAATATCTCGAGAAAGGAACATTCTTGTTGACTAAAACTTTTAGAATATTTTATGGGCAAATTCTCAGGTCGAAAACGTCTAAAAACTTCATGGCTTATAAAGTAGACATTGGGCTACAGTATGACAACAATTGAAATTGAAAATATAACTAATTAAGCAAATTAGACGGTGATTTTCCAAAAAAAACCTAGAAAACTTTTCAAGTATTTTGATTCTCAGGGAAACTTGTACTCCCATTCATGCTCCTTTCATCAGTGAAAATCCAAGCTCGATAGCTATCAGTTTTGCCGAGTTATTCAACAAACAACAGAGTCCATTCTTTTTTGAAATAGATTATAGTTTTAATAGTCAATTGTAATCAGTTGTCTGCTCATTGATAATAATCTTGTATTGCATGTTTCCATTCGGTTATTATTATATGTGATGAAATTTTATTTTAATCATCTCTTTCTGCACCTATCAATGGTCATAAGCCTCAATAAGAAGAACAAACTGTTGGTTGAACTGATCTACCACATTAAGAATTGTTCGAAGTTATTATGATCGGATGAGTAACAACATGAAACTCTCCGACACTTTGATTCATAATAAATTTATAATCACAAACTTCACATTGTAAATTCAAACAAACCCCGTCAATCTATCTGACATTCTATGAATTAAAAATAAGTTCGAATAATTTTGTGTTGTACGTAACTATAGAACTTTTATTCTAGAAGTAAAAAAAAAGACAGAATTGACATCATTTCATCCTACAAAGAAAAATATCCCTTATTATTTTATTTCTTTTACACTTTGGAAGACATATCATCATCATCATATCTAAGCATATTTACAAGCAAACAAGTCATAGTCAGATTGATCAAATCAATTTCAACTTTAACTTTGTAATTAAATCAAGCAAATGAAAATCCGCATTTTATTTATTTCATGTTCATTTAACAATTATAATACTTTTTCGTTTTCTCTATATCAGTTGGAGTGAGTCTAACATTCATGTAAGTAATCTGATGTCCTTCATATTTTGGAACTAGTGTTGGTTTTCCATTGCTTGAATAAGAATAATCAGGATAGTGCATAATGGAATAGTAATCGTATACCATTCCCAATGTAGTAAAGGAATTAGCCTGGTATTTGTCAAATGCATAGTGGAAACCTAAAAAAATGAAATCAAAATAAAAATTGGCAGAATAATACATGCAGGATTAACATATGAAATACAATATGATCGCTATTCTACTCTCAAAATAGCTATCGCTTCTGTCAAATTAGCAAAAATAATAGAGTAGACTTTGAATTTTGAGTGCAGTTTTGTCAGGGTGTGTAAAGAGGTGAGAAATCTTGTTTCACAATATTATCTCTATCAACTGATCATTTCATATTTTCTGATTATTGAAGTGAAGATTCAAAATTCTAACTCTATATTTTAAAACTCATTATAGATTATGTTTCACAAAAATCAATTATAGACAAAGATATTAGTATCAATTAAATTATAGATAATTAATAAATAACTGTCAATACTTCAAAAACATAAAAATTTTCTTACTCGGATCAATATTCTCCCATTTGATTTCAACATAATTGTCTCTATCAGGTCTCTGATGCTCATGTCCAAAGCCAATAGCGTGACCTAATTCATGTACGTACTGTCCAACACTCATACATGTTGGTGCATACATTTTTACAAATTGTCGTCCACCTTGTCGACCAACATATGAATAACAATAGTTGTTTGTTCCATCATTAGGTGTCAATTCGAGATAGTCACGATCTTGACTAGATGCTGGAACAAATCTGATACATGTCTTTGATTCCCACTCTCGAATAGACTCTGCAATTATTGCTCTCTCATCATTATTGTACAGCGAACTGATCACATATGGAACTCTTGCATTTGGCCATTTGTATTTTTGAGCAATCCATACATTGGCACGAGTTTTGGAATTGGATGGAAGATATTCACGAAAATCAGTCCATTTGAAACGACGTTCTTCGAATGTTAACGCTTTACCTCGTTCAAAATCTTCATCAGTTAGATAAGGTGGTCGTAATACTGATGGAATAGAATTACATCGAGTAAATGTAATCACTAAAAACACGTCGAAAGAAAAAGTTTCATTTTTTAAAACTTATGAATGTCTATAAGAAT